GCTCAACTCACTGATTTTTTTTTGTATTGCCTTTTTAGTCTTAATTTCACTTTCACTCTATTCATTATGATTTCTCTCCTTAATTTCAGTGTGGGCCTTGATAGTTGTCATTTCCTATGTATCTTATCAGTCCTCGTAAAGTTATTTGAGCTTGCTCTGCTTCCATAATGTGAGCACTGATGATGGAGCAAAAGAGACTCCATCTTAAAGGAGACTCACTTAAGTTAAACTCACTCTCTCACCCCTCCCATGTAGCTAACCATAAATCCACTTAGACAACCAGGGTCACAAAATAGGAACAAATAGTTAGAACAACTTGGAGAATAGGGCAAACATTAAACCACACTGCTCCATGACAGGCAGTATCTGGGAAAAGTAAACTTTGTGGCAATTGTGACATTCTTGTAATATTCCTGAAAATTAGGTTACTATGGTAACCTAAACATAATATAACCTGAAAGCAGAGTTCAGGCTGGTACCAACAACTTGGAAAGTTTTCCCCCCAGTCAGGGAATTGGTTGGTTGCACGCTCATAATAAAAGCTTCCTTGTCCTTTACATTTGGCCTCTTTTGTGGGGGCTTTTTTTTTTTTTATTTTTTTATTTTTTTAGGGAAGGGTCTACAGGGTGTTCAGGGTCTCACTACTAGATCAGACTCACAGTGATTCTGTTTACAGCCTCCCAAAAGCTGGTATTATAGGCGCGAGCCACCACACCCAGTCTCAATCACTGTCTCAGCACGCCCTGGGAGTGGGGCCAGCATGGCAGGCCCAGGGATGGAGCTCCGGGCCCCTGTGCCTGCTTGCAGGTGCTTTAATCCACTATCTGGCTGGCCCTGGTTTTATCATTTCTACCTAGGATATTTCTGAGTATTTTCTGGATTGCTTGTTTAGTATTTATATATTGCTTAAATTGGTGTTTACTAGGAAATGTCCTTACATCTCCATATATTTAGAAGGAAAGCTTTGCTAGATATGTTAACCTATATTGGAAGTTGTTTGCTCTTAGGGCTTGAAATACTTCATTCCACGGGGCTTGCAGGTTAGCTCAGTTGTTTAAAGTGCCAAGTTGTTTAAAGCACCTCAGTTGTTTAGACCGCAGTTCAATCCCCAGGTCCACAAGCCACACCAGACCCACCCTTAACAAAAATACAAACAAAGAAACAAAAATTCACTCCAAACTTACCCACCCATTAAGGTTTGTATTTTGAAGTCTGCTGTAATTCTAATGGGTTGAACTTAATATGGGATTTTTGGGTTTTCTCTGTTTTTAAAATTCTTTTTTTTGTTGGATATCTGGAAGCTTAATAAGGATATGCCTTGGTGAGTTTCTTTCATCATAGTCGTTCGGTGTTCTGGAAGCCTTGCTTACTTGTATAATGGACTCTTCTCATATTTATGAAAATTTCTGCTTCTGTAAACGTGAATAATTCAAGTTGTGTTATCTTCTAGCTTTCTTCTAATTCCAATTAGCCTTAGGTTGGTCTTAAGTGTCATCTAGTAGCTAATCGATTGTCTTTTTTGGGGGGAGAGGATGATCTTTTTATTCTCTAATTTTTGTGGCTTCAGTACTTCATGTTCTACTTTTGTCAGTGGAACAGTTTTCACATTGATCATTTGTGAAATTCATGGATTTTATACTTTTGTGTGTGTGTCTGTGATACTGGGGATCAAACTCGGGACTTTGCACTTGCCAGGGAGGTACTTACACTGCTGAGCCATCTCCCTGGCCGTTATTTCTGTTAATTCTATCCTATCTTTTTGAGGACTCCATTTGATGGTAAATTTGTCATTCATGTTTTAAACTATTTATCAGCTCTTCCAATTTTTTATTTTCCCCAAATCTACATGGAACATTTGAGTGATAATTCTGTAAACTTTTGGTTTACTTCCTCTTTGAACTTTGAGCATACCTAGAGTCTTCATCTCTTATCTCCTCATAGAGTTCCACCACCTGGTATTTGCTTTCTTTTCCATTTGTTTCCCCTTGATGTGCCTTAGGCAAGATGAGAAACCTTAAGGATCTTCTGTTGCCTTGCTTCACCATCATCCTTTTCCTGTAGTAAGGTAACACTTTAGTCTTGAAGCACAATTCTCCCTCTTGGGGACTAGTCTCTTCTTGGATCAGGACAGCCTATTGGTTGTCACCTCTGTTCTCCTGTGTTTTGGAGACAGCAGGAGTGAAGACAGCATCAGCTGGGGTAGCGCATGTGCTCAGGGAGCAAAGCATGCAGTCCTAGGATCCTTCTGGTTTATAGCACAGGACTGAGGCATGGAATTTTTTAACTGTGGTATATTTAGACCATGCACTGTTGTCCAACTAAAAACAATTATGTGGGGGCTAGTGAGATGGCTCAGTGGTCTAAAGCACCTACTTAGAACAAGCTTAGCAAAGCACAGGGACCGCGGTTCAATCCCCCAGCACCACATGCCAGCCAGCCCCGCCCCCTGGTGGGCTGAGCTAGACACACACACACACACACACACACACACACACACAGAAATAAATACAAATTTTTTAAAAAACCCAATTATGTGATAATAATGCAACTCAACTTCACCAAATTTATATTAAATGGGAAAAAGACATAGGGAGCTGATGTATAGCTTCATTTCCATGAACAGGAAAAACAAATCATTTTTTAAAATTTTTATTTTATTTATTTTATTTATTTATTTTTTTTTAGGAAAAACAAATCTATAGTGATGAAAGTCAGAACAGCAGTAACCTTAGGATGGGGAAGCAGACTCTGCAGTGATGGAAGTGTTTTATGTTTCAGTGGGAGTAGTGCATGGTATAAACATAAAATTAATCAAGTTGCACAGTAAGACTTATGAACTTTTAACTCAATTACAACAATTTTAACAGAAAGCTCTACAGAGACAGGGTTAAATACAGAACCAGAAAGAGCCAGACTTCAAATATCAAAACCTTCCACATGGGTAACCTTCATCAACTCACATTAATATGGGCCTCAGATTCCTCATGTGTGGATTGGAGGTGACAATACCAACCTCAAGGTGTCACTGTCATGACTAAATGATGCAAAGCTTTGAGGAGTAGCTGGTATTGGTCAACAGTGAGCACTAAGTATCAGCTATCACTGTGAGGAACGGTTGAATGGTCATCACGAAGGGTAAATTTTTTTTTTTTTTCGGAACCGGGGATTGAATTCAGGCCCTTGCGCTTGCCAGGGAAGTGCTTATTCTACTGAGCCATCTCCCCAGCCCCTATGAAGGGTAAATTTATAAGAATAAAAATAGGGGCCGGGGAGATGGCTCAGTAGAATAAACACTTGCCTGGTAAGCACAAGGACCTAAGTTCAATTCACGGTTCTGAAAAAAAAATAAAAAATAAAAATAATTTTCTGGAAACATATGAAATGTCAAAAAGTTTTTAATTCTATTGCTTCAAAAATATCCACAATTTTTTTTTCAGAAACAGGGATTGAACTCAGGCCCTTGTGCTTGCCAGGGAAGAACTTATTCTACTGAGCTATCTCCCCGGCCCCTATCCACAAATTTAAAAACTGACAGAATTACAAAGTTTATTGAATAATACATAATCATGGTAAATAAAAGATTATAAATGTATTCATATTTTTCAACACAAATAATATGCTTAATCTAATGGCCATAGGTAGAATGCAGTGATTTCAACCACTGATTAAGTGTTTATATAAATTCATGTATACTAAGTACACCAGTTAGGAATTGCATTAAGTTGAAATATGCCCACTTCCTTTCCCCTCCACCCTTTACCTGAACCACTAAACAGCGTTTTTCTTTTTTTTCCATGTAATAAGACTGGAGAATAACATAGGGCTGGCGAACTTACACAAAAATTCATTATCATTCTCTCTAGTTTTATTTTATTTTTATTTTTTATTTTTTAAGATTAGGGAAGCAAGAAAATTGAGACTCTTCTGGCCATTTCCTTCTTAGCCTGTGGTGTCTACCCTAATGGTAGTCATAGGACTACCTCCTCTAGCTCTGAACATCATTAGTGCTTGAAGCAGAAGTGAAGATATCTAGCCAAATTAAATCACACCTGTGCAGTGTGTTTTTCCAGAATTACACACAGTATCTTCTAATAATTCTACTATCTAGGACTGAGCAATACAGCCTTCTAAGTAGGAGAAATAGAGTTTGAAATAGTGCATATACTCAAAGTGAACAACAAAAAACTTTCTTTTGTAAGGAAGGGCCAATTTTGGTTTACAACTAGCAGATCTGTCAATACTTAAAATTCAGTAACATAAAAAGTATATACTCTGCTCCTATGTAATGAAATTAGAAACCAAACATCAAAAAAGCAATTGAGAAATCACCATACAACATGCAGGAATTTTAACATTCTAAGCCTTGAATACAGTGTTGGTTAAACACAAATATATTATCTGTTAAATGCAACTGCAGTTGTGATTTATGCACTTTGTTATAATTATATCTCCATGAAAATGTATCTGTGTACTGGTATTTAATTCCAAATAGCTCATGGTAGAAGAACAAGTAATAATGGAAGTAAAGACATTAGAATTAAACCAGAATGAAAATACATAGTCATTCCTCAGTTTCCACAGGGATATGTTTCAGCAACCCCCTCAGACACCAAAATCCAAGGATGCTCTAGACCTTTACCTAAACTGGTGTAGTGCTTATATATAATCTATGCACACCTTCCCATCTCTGTGGGTTTTGTTTTTTGTTTTTTGTTTTTGGTGCCTAGGACTGAACCCAGGGCTTCCAGCTTGCTAGGCAAGCAGTCTACCACTGAGCCAAATCCCCAGCCCTTCCCATCTCTGGATGACTAGTACCTAATACAGTGTATATGCTGTGTATATGGTTGCTATACTGCACTGTTTAGGAAATTATAACAAGAAGAAATGTCTATACAGTATTCAGTACATATGCAACTCTGTCCTGCTATTTTCAATATGCAATTGGTTAAATTCACAGATGCAGAACCTGCAGATCCCTGGGACAGACTACACATTGAAACATGAAACAAATACAGGTTAATATGTATCATAAGAAACAAGGTAGTCCAAAATGTTTATATTTTTATAAAACAGGATGTCAACTGCCAAGGAAACCAGTGCAGGTCTGAGACACTGACAAGGAGAGGCCACTTTGCTTGGTGCTCTCTTGCCCACTGTGAGTCCTCTTGTGCAGAGTGAGTGATGAGCTTTGCCTGAAGGCTTTCTCACACTGATTACATGGGTAGGGTCTCCCTACCATGTGGGTTCTCACATGCACTATGAGGTGTGAAGACTGCCCAAAGGCCCGCCCACATTCCTGGCAGGTATATGGCTTCTTCCCAGTGTGAGTTCTTGCATGTTTCCTGAGGGATGAGGGCTCACTGAAGGACCGCCCACATTCCTGGCAGGTGTAGGGCTTCTCCCCAGTGTGAGTTCGCATATGACTCTTCAGGGTAGAAAGGCGACTCAAGACCTGCCCACAGGTCCCACACTCATATAGCTTCTCCCCAGTGTGGATTCTCTTGTGCACATTCAGGTGTGTGCTAGTGCGGAAGGGTTTCCCACATTGGTTGCACTCATAGGGCTTCTCCCTTGTGTGGGTACGCAGATGTGTCTTAAGTGATGAGTGCTCCCTGAATGCTTTCCCACAGTGGCTGCATTCAAAGGGCTTTTCTCCAGTGTGTGTTCGCATGTGGCTCCTGAGAGATGATGGTTGATTGAATGCTTTCCCACAGTTCTTACACAGATAGGGTTTCTCTCCTGTATGATTCCTCTGATGCAAAACCAGGTTGAAATTCCTGGTGAAGGTTTTCCCACACTGACCACATTCAAAGGGCTTCTCTCCAGTATGGGTCCTTAGGTGCCGCCGTAGGTTTGAAGAATACTTAAAGGCTTGCCTGCACTTCTGGCACTCAAAGAACTTTTCTGCAGTGTGTGTTTTCTCATGCCTCATGAGATCACAGCTGTATTGAAAGGACTTTTCACACTGGTTGCATGCATAGGTTTTCTCCATGCTATGTATTTTTTCAGGTGTCATTACAGGAGCATCCTGGAAGAAGGATTTTTTGTTCTCCTGATTTTCATAGGAGGCCTCTCCAGCAAAAACTCCCTGGTAGTGACAAAGTGGTTGTACACTGCTAAATGGTTTTCCCAATGTTGTATATTTGTAGAGTTTTTCTCTACACTGAAGTTGGTCCTGTTGATTAAGGAGGATTGAAAGATTAAAGGTCTTATTCAGAGATATTCTTTCTGTGCCAAATGACTATAGGGGTGGACCATTTCTTTATGTGAATCTTACCATTTCAGTAAGTCTATACTATACGGTTTCTACCCAAAGTTCCCTTCAATGGGACAGGGTGAATTCTCTGCCAAAACAATTGATCTTTTCATTACTTTCATGGGGCTTCTTAGATGAAGAGATATTCTGCATTGTTTAAAGCCAAAATAAATGTTAAATGCTTGGTGCTGAGGATAACTTGTGATAATGTGTACTTTGAGAACTCTGTGAAGACATATCTTTTTGTTTTCAGTGCCACAGATGGAACCCAAGGCCTTATGCATACTAGGCAAGTGCTCTGCCAGTGAACTACACTCTAGCACCAAGACACAAGACATGTAGCACTACACTTAGTTTTCTATCAATTCATGACATTCACAGATTGTCTCTTAACCCACTTTCTCCTAGGTAAGCACCATTTCCAATAAATATCTCAGGGCTCTTGTGTAGTTTCTCTAACCTACAGCAAGCTTAGACATTTCCTACTATAGAGGAATGAGAATAATCCCGTATGAATCTTACCCTTTTCCTGCCAATGGACAGAATCTCTGCAAAAATATCTTGGCTTGCAATTGACTCTTGGGGTTGAAGTTGTGGCTCTGAAATGAATTAGGGGTATAGATTAAAGGCACGGAGAATTGTACGATCAAAGTGATCAAAAATGTAAGCAAGGCACATGTGAGGTTTTGCTGTAGAGATAAGCATAAAGCAGAATTTTAAGGCTTTAGACTGAGAAAGGAGCTCTGTAATAATAAAATCAAGGGATGAAAATCATAGTAGACAACTTGTTGAGAAAGGGTTCTACTAAGATTGAGAATTATGCAGAAATATTAGCAAGGATACATAGTGGGAGGACCTAGATAAAGCATACACATAGAAATGCTTAAAATGAAGACAAGAAATAAGTACTTCTATGGAATCACAGGAAAGTATTAGAGATAAGAAAGAGGAAACCAAGTGGAATTTACTAAAAGAGCTCAACCAAACAGCCTGCTTGGTCAAGGGCCCTGAAAGTACTTCCCTAGCAACAGTTCCTAAATCTGTGGCTCCTTTTTTTTTTTAAACAAAGAACTCATTTATTTATTTATTTATTTATTTATTTATTTATTTATTTATTTATTTATTTATTTTTGGCAGAACCAGGAATTGAACTCAGCCGCTTATGCTTGCCAGGGAAGCACTTATTCCACTGTGGCTCCTCTTTTCAACCAGAGCCAGTGCTAGCTTGGTTCTCATGGTGCTCACCTGAGAAGATTCCTCTCTTGATGCTCCACAGCTCTTCTCTTTTCTCCATATAGGATACTGTGCTGGTTTTGCATAGTTGATCTGCTCAGAGGAAAAAATGATACATGGTGGGCTGCCAATGCCTGGCCATGGACACCATGGCCAATATTCTCAAGTCTTCAGGGGCTCTGGAGATGGGAACAGCTGCCTAAATTTTGATGGACACAGCAAAGCTCTTTCGCTCAGGAGCATCACTGGAACACAGAGGATACCAAGCTAACTAGTCCCCAAAACCCAGAGTCTGGCTCAGAACCACTCTTGAGAAGCCCAGAACCCTGGAGAATCCTGGAGCAACAGAGTTGTAGACAGACCTTCACATCCACAGGGACTCCCAGGGGTGTACATGTCATGGGGCTGCACGCATCTGTCTTTCCACCTCTTGATTTTCCACACCCACACAGTTCCTAGATGCCACAGTGGTCTCCTGAGTGTGTGAAGGAAGCATTGAGGTGAGCCTTACCTATGGAGGCCAGGTTGCTGTAGTTTTCCAGCATCACATCTCTATACAGACTTCTCTGAGCAGAATCCAAAAACACCCATTCTTCTGGACTAAACATCACAGCCACATCCGTAAAGGTGAGTGGTTTCTAAAACACACATCCACCCTAGCTTAGCCAGCGGCCGCGCCCCCACCAAAATGCAAGAGTATGCTAGGGCTGGCGGGAGTAGGAAAAGAATAACCCACAAAGAAGATTTGCAGTCTCTTTAATCTGGCCTTGAACTATAGCATCCCAATTTTAATCTCTTAGGGGATGGGTATAGCTGAGAGGCCAAGTACATGCTGAGCATAAACTAAGCCAGGGGTGGCAAACTTATGGCATGCATGCCACAGCTGGGTGTTTGTTATCTCCGAGAGCTCTAAAAGGTTCACCATCACTGCGCTAGGTTCTGGGTTCACCCACAAATAAGAATTAGAAATCTACTCACCACTCCCCAAGTAAAAGGCTCTAACTCATGTCAAAAAACCTTTACTTCATGAAAGAACTTCCCTACCTACAACTAGCCAACAAGACCTTGCAGATGTAGCCTGCCTACCTTCACAGACCAGCAGACCTGAGCATAGTACAGAGAAATACATGGCAAATAAACTACCCAATGAGACCATGAAGCCCAAGAAGCAATGATGGCTTTTATATCCTTGCTTTTCTTCCCTCTTGGCTCTTAGCAGCTTGAAGAGGGCCCAAATGAGAGGGCAGGATCATTACTTGGGCTGCATGAGATCCAGCTCTTCTTGGCAGGCTGGGGATCAGCGCTGTGTGTAAGATCAAGAAAGTCCAGGCAGGTCATAGAAAGGGATGAGCCCAGCCTCTGGCACAGTAGGGTTCTTTAGGGGCTAATGGGATCTTTTATTTACCCAGGAACAGGGAGCTGGCGACCCATGAGCTCCGGCTTCTTCCACTTGGAGACAGGTGGAGTCCTGAGCAGGCAAAGCTGAGGGAGACGAGATAAGGCATGAGGGTCAGTGCTGGGCCAAGTGAGCACACCCTGGCTGTGCATGACCACATATAACACACATCCACACACTCAAAGGTGTAAACACATGCACACAGGAACACAGATGCGCATGCTTTTGCACACACATGCATGGACACACAGATCAGCATGCACATAAACTTGTAGACATATACAGACATGAGCATAGTAACACACACCTGCACATGTGCACATCCCTTCTATTCCAAATGTAGAAGCCACACCTCAATCACTAGCAGATGCTGGAGGTCCTGTGGCACCCACCCTCCTCCTTGATTTTTAGCTCCTCAGCCCTTTCACCATCCCCCTACTAACAAGGCTACCACAGCCCCAGGGCATGCCACAAGTAAGAGACAGATAAAGCACCACCCTGTAAAGTTTGCTGAGAAACACTGGTCCTTCCCACCTTCAATCAATACTAGCGCTCCTTCCATACTAAGCAGCCTTCCGCTGGCCCAAGATGGATAAGCACACAACTCCCTGACCATCTTTCATCTCCTTGCACCTTCGCTTCTCTCTCCTGGTGGAAATTTTTCCCTTTGGTTTTTTTTTTTTTTAACATATTTAGTACAGGGTCTACAGGGTCTCACTACACAAATCAGACATGTAGTGATCCTCCTGTTTTCAGCCTCCCAAGAGCTGGTATTACAGGTGCGTGCCACCACGCCCAGTCTCAGTCCCTGTCCCAGCGTGCCCTAGAGGCAGGGCCAGCCCGCTTCCTATTAAAAGCTCAGCCACATTAAGTGCCTGATACCACGTGTGAGTTTCCTAGGGGTGATGTGACAAACAACCATGGAAATTCTTTCTGTCACAGTTCTGGAGGCCTGGGATCCAAGACCCAGGTGTCAACAGGGCCACACTACCACTGAGATTCCGGTTAGAATCCCTTCTGACCTCATCTTAGCTTTTGTCAGTGGCTGCAGGCCCTTGGTGCACCTTGGTTTGAGCTGTATCCTTCCACCCTGCCACCATCACCACCTGGCCTTCTTATGTGTCCTCACATGCCACCTACCCCTGCAGAACACCAGTCAGACCACATTAGGGCTCACCCCCAAGACCGTATCTGAACTTGCTTACATCTGACTCAGAAATGTCTGTCCTGTGTCTGTCCTATCATTGTGTTTTGACAACTATGTTCATAATTTATAGGTTTATAGATGGTAAGGAACCATCCTGACAAGCCATATTTTGTGCCCCACCTATACCTGATTTTTTAAAAAATTTTTCTCAAAATATATTTGCTTTCCTCTCAGTACATCTTATACCTAATTTTTATGATTTACATACTAAGATGAGTGATGTCGTGAGTTGATACCTAAATATAATTTTAGGGCATAATGAAATAGGTTGAAGCTTTGGGGATAATGAGAACATATGAATGCATTTTGCACGATGGAAGGACACACATCTTGAAGGGGCCGTGGAGGCTAACTTCTGTGGATTGCATTGTTTCTCCCCCCCCCCCAGTAAGAAATCGTAATCCTCAGTACTTCACAATGTGACCTTATTTGGAAATAGGGTTGCTGCAGATGCAACTAGTGATGAAGTCATCAAGGGGCACGCTGTGCCCTTAATGCACTGACTGGTGCACTCTAAGAAGAAGAGGGGCCAGGGAGATGGCTCAATGAAATAAGCGCTTCCCTGGCAAGCGCAAGGGCTGGAGTTCAATCCCTGGTTCCACCAAAAAAAAAAAAAAAGAAGAAAGAAGAAGAAAGAAGAAGAAAGAAGAAGAAAGAAGAAGAAAGAAGAAGAAAGAAGAAAGAAGAAAGAAGAAAGAAGAAGAAGAAGAAGAAGAAGAAGAAGAAGAAGAAGAAGAAGAAGAAGAAGAAGAAGAAGAAGAAGAAGGAGAAAAGAGCCACAGAGACAGATGCAGAGGGGGTGCAGCCATGTGACCATGCTGGAAGAGGAGGGACACATCCAGTGAATCTCAAGCACTGCCAGCCAGCACTTGACATCAGAGAAAGGCAAGGAAGGAGCTTCCCTCAGATGTCCTAGGGAAGCATGACCCTGTCAACACCTTGTTCTCAGACAGACAAGAGAGATGGAGGAGAGGGAGGAATGGAATGTAAATGAATGAATGGGAATGCATCATTTTGTTCCCAAAGCCTTCACACCCCACCATGCCCCCCATGTCAGGAAGTGGCATCCATCCCTACCACTAATCCTAAATATCACCCTCTGACACTCAGCAGACGCCAACAAAAACCGCAAACTCCAGATAACAGCTCTACATGAAATACCCCATCATATCCTCTTCATCTTACCCTGTCCCAGTTGTGGATTTTACCTACACATTTTTTTTCTTTTGATCCCCTTAAATGTCACTTCTGGGATCCACTCAACTGCCCTCAAAAGGAAATGCCTGTCCCTTCTCTCCCCTAAGATGGCCCTCTCCTTTCTAACCAATTCTTAACCAGATGTGGCTTGGTAAGTGTTTACTTTCCATCACCCTCACTGGGTTACATGCTTTGCTGAGAACCAGCCCACGGCTTCTCCTTTTACCCCACTGTCCCTCACACTGTGCTTGGCATATGTGTGTTCTTTGTCATCTGGTAAATACACGAACACACAAACCATCAATTTACCTCAATTGAGCTCCTGTCTGTGTCTTACATCATCCCACAGAAAAGAACAGGCTTGCAAGGCAGGCTGGACTCTCCTTAGCAAGTCAGCCCCTGGCTCATGTTTGGAATATCTGGGTAGCTCCCCATGCCCCCCATGCCCCCCACTGCTAAGAGGGGCTCACTTTGCTTAAACAAATAATGGGCTATATGCTGAACCACCTTGCTTCTGTGGGTCTAGAATTCACGTATGTGCTATACAGGAGATGCCTGCATGACCACACCCCAGTGAAAACTGGGTGCTGAGCCTCTAATGAGCCTCTGTGGTAGGCAGCTAGGTACAAAAGTTGTTACAATTGATGTTGGAATAATAAAGCATGTCTCGTGTGAAATTAAATGTCCCCCAAAAGTTCATGTGTTGAAGGCTTGGTCTCCATCTGATTGTACTCTGGGAGGTGGTAAGAACTTCAGAGGTGGGGTCCAGCGGGAGGAAGTTAGGTCACTAATTTGCTCTTTCAGGGGACTTCAGGACCTGGCCCTTCCTCTCTGATCACTTCTTGGCCACCATGCAGTGAGCAGCTTCCCTCCGCCACATGCTTCCACCATGATGTACTCTCTCCACGGGCCCAGGGCCACAGGCCAAGCAGCTATGGACCCAGCCATGACATATGCACTTCCTTAATTCTAAGAATTACCTGCTGTCAGAAACCTAACAGAAAAATTAAAAAAGAAAGAAACCTAATAGAGATTCTAAATGTGAAACTGGATGATATTAAAAAACAAAATTTATTTCTCTCACAAGAAGACAAGATAGAGGGAAAAAAAAAATACCTTGCCATTAATGATAAAATTGTATTTGTCTGGACAATCAATGTTCTTTATCTACTTCTCAGGAGATGTGGATTTTCATATCATTTTTTAAAGGCTTAGGCCATCAAGACACTGCCCATTTCTAGCGAAACTGATTATACTTCTCAAAACCAACATAACCGTGTAACCAAAAGTTCAACAGTATTCAAACTATTCTTGACAATTAAGGAATTAGATCACTACCATCTTAGCCAGGTCATGAGTAGTTTAAGCCTGAGGCTGTATGGGTGCTTGATGGGCATAGTAGTGCATGCCTGTAATCCCAGCACTCAGGAGGCTGAGGCAGGAAGACTGCTACTAGTTCAAGACCAGCCTGGGCTATAAAGTGAGCTCAAGGCCAGCCTGAGCTGCAGAGCAAGACCCTGTCTCAAAAAGACAAAAAAAAAAAAAAAAATGTATGGGCCCTTGTTAAAAGTTAGTAAGGGGGCTGGAGAGATGGCTCAGTGGTCTAAAGCACCTACTTGGAACAAGCTTGTCTAAAGCACAGGGACCGCGGTTCAATCCCCCAGCACCACATGCCAGCCAGCCGCGCCCCCTGGTGGGCTGAG